TTTCCAATTTTCTTAATTGGAAAGACAAAATGCCAATCAACAGGGTGGAGCAGAAAATTCTCACAGCAGGTGAATTCAAGTGTACTTGCTCACAGAGTCTCTAAAGTCATGACAGATCTACCAACACCTCATAAAAATTCAAGTACAAAGTCTTTTGACATTTTATGTTTTTTCAAATACTCTTCTACTTCAAATCAATGTTTTGATTCGTCTCTGAGCTAATTGGTTTGGTTCAAGGTTTAGATGTTAATGTATCTCTTGTGCCTTCTAGAGCGCATGGCCTGGACAGCCCCTGCCAACATGCAACGCACAGACCTCCAAGAATCCAGCGCCGTGAAGCCTTTGATTAGACCTGAAGATCTGGAACGTGTTGAGGTGGGAAGCACCAGGAAGACTCCAAAAACCCTGTCCAGGCCCAGAACAGTACAGAACAACTTCTTCACCTCGTCTTCTCTCATAAATGCTGTTGTGGGTGGAATTTCCCCTGCCGGTGAGTCTCACACAAAACCTTTGAATCCTCTTAAACTGCCCAAGTATTCAAGCTACACAAAGCTTAAATAACCTCCATGCATTTTTTCAAGGTGTTGATTAACCTTTTAAAGCCTACTGTATCATATTTGAAATTTCTAAAGCCTCTAAATGATCAATATGCTCAAAACTTGATAAACCTGTTGCACACAATCTACTACATGACTTCTGTCATCTAATTGATAGTTTAGAATAAACTTTTGTACAACCGTCCACCTTCAGCTCGTGCTTCACGTGTCTTTCTGCTGTGAAATCTTTACTGATATTTATCAGGTAAACGTCAGAATTACTTTTCATTTTCAGGATGAACATTTTCTGGATTGAAGCAACTTTTTTTTCTTGATTATCCATACATCATTTTTTTTCAAATATGATCCATCAGGCTTTTGAGGAACATTTATTTGTTCAGCTCTCAGTCATCATTGTATTGCATTGCATTGCATTATATGTTTTGCCCCAACAATAAAAAATACAGAACTTTGATCATAAAACTAAGCATTTAAACATCATCTTACTAAACTGATATTTACTGTATATGCATTTTATGTAAGTAGTCTGCTATATGTTATAAAGATCTCATTGATTTACATAACAAACATCAGAATTTTATCTTACTTTTTGGTAATTTGCACCAAATTTCATTTTTTTTTCCTCCGTTTTTTTCTCTATACCTCACTATACCATACAGTTCAATGAACTGTTCCATAAAAAAAAAGTTTTTTTCATATGTCAGGATTTATAGGGTTAATATTGCACAACTAGAAGAAGAAAGTTGTGCAGTTTTTCTGATTGATTCCCATTAATAGATGATCACACATACGGAGTACCAACAGTACGGACTGATCTACCTGCTCCACGTATCAAACGCATCAGTGACAGGACAAACTATGGAGATGAAGCAACAGCACATGATCTGCTGCACCCCCCTCTGCATACCCTCTACGGAGTCCATGAAAAAGAGTTTTTTAGTCCTCGCACGAAAGATGAGGTGAATTTTGGATGACAGTGATGTTGCATTATGATTTAATGCGGACATAACACACAGTTTTAGTCAATTTCATGTTAAACTTGAGTACTTATAGAGTAGTATTGCATCCTTCATATCTCCGAAGATTCTTCAGTTTTATCAGATTTATAAAAGACAGATACAGCTCTACTGGGAGAAGTGCCCATATAAGGAATCCCGCCTTTTATGACGTCATACAGGGCCATACTCGGAAAAAAAAAAAACTTTCTGAACTTATACGAACCCTGAAGGAGTGTATTTGGCACAGTAATACTCCGTCATACGTCCACCTAATTTTTTTGAGACTTTGGTCATGTTTAGCATGAGAATCCAACTCTTTAACAGAATGCATGAAATGGCATTAGACATCCCCTTTAAAGGGGTTTTAAGCTGTCTAAACAATTATTACAGATGGACTAAAGATATATTGTATATCACTCATAGATCGCACAGATATTCCAAAAAGTGGTTGTCGACGTTGCTGAGGAGACATTTGAGGAGGTGTGGAAGTTGGCGTCCATGAGACATCCTGCTGGTGACGTATGTGTGGAAGGCTTTCGAAATGTTCTCCGTGAACTACGGGCAAATTAAACCTAAAATCAGTGTTTCTGTCATGCTTATTTGTCTATATTTTATTAACTTTATTAATAATTGTAGTAATAATTAATATTCATTTATTACTTATTTAGTTTATTTCAAATAACAACATTTTTATGGTTTTAGTTTAAGTTTTAGCTAACTATAAAAACCCCGGTGACACCATAATTCAAAGTTTGCCTTCATTCAGATCATTTAGGAGAAAGTTACATCAAAACAATGTTACACAAGTAAAAGCAGGTGAGGTAAAGCTCTAGGTGCCTTCCAAGGGATTATTTCAGTAATATGATAAATGCAGAGTTTGCCTCCGGAAAGGCTTGTTTTATTTGAACAATAATCAGTGTGGACACACTAAACTAGTAATCATTACTACACAGTGAAGTGAGTTCAGACCCTCATGACTTCTGCAACTGCAGTATTTTATTAATTCAGATCCATTATTGGGTCAGCGGTAATTCTGGCCATGTTTTTGGTTTAATTTAGTCTCTTGTCAAATGAAGCAAAGTGCTGCAAAGGGCCTAACTGCAATAAGAAGTGCCCTCAACGTAACGTAATAATAGCTCAGCTTAGTAATGAATTTTTGCCACCCAGGATAGCATTATTGAGTTTACTTCGAGGACGTATGCTGCATTTAGAATTTGAGAGAGATGGAGATTGCTGTCAATTACCGTTTTCTCCCAAAGGACTTTATCACACACTGATGATAAGCGGGAGTCTGTGTGTGTGTGTGCTGTAGCAAATACAGTTTGGGCAAGTGTTGTTATCTGTTATGGATAATAATGGTTATTTGCCACCTGGATATTAGTATACACATATTCCTTTGCTGGTCATCGGGTAAATTATTACCGGTACATCTTTTGGACTTGTAAATCTCAATCTCTTTTGTTTGTGATACATTGAACGTGAAACTCTTTACTTTATTAATACACACCCTTCTCCTTTTCACAATCCAATCCATTTTCTATAGTTATAATAAAGTCCTGCCCAACGTTTTGCCTATCCTGTCACTTGAAAATACGTCAGATTACAGAAGTAAAATGGGTTTTGAGCTGCATTTCATGTTGACTTTAAAAGCACAAGCAAATATACAGTACAGAGATGAATTCATCTGCCTTATTTGGCAACATCAATATAACGCATCATAAATATGAGTTAATGTTTAGTACAATAAACAGATTAATAATAACAACAGCAGAGTCCCTAATCCATGATAAAAGCCTAGAGGAGTGCAAATAGCTTTGTAAAGCACATTAATGCTTTTATTTTCTTTTGTTCAGTTCACTTGTAGATGAAGCCAGCGTGATTAATTGCCTAATATGGTATTAACATATTTATTTAAATTGAAACAGGAGGTATGATATCCACTGTTAATCATATTATGACTTGTTTGCACACATGCGACAAAACACCCACGCAAGTTGAACAGAACAATCCATTACTGCCTGCAAAAATTATAATAATCCCACAGCCATATTTCTAAATGATTTAATGAATTTCAGTCAATGATAATTTGATGACTCCCTGTAAAGCCATGAATGCATAAACAATGACATGCCATAAAAGAGTTTTCCACAGAAATAGGATGACATCCACGCATGGGTGAGAACATCTTCCCGTCAGTTTAACAAAGGATTTATTTTAATATCTAAATTAGGTGATAATTGGTCTCAACGACCATCTGTGGTTCTCCATGATCTGAAGGTATCAAATATCATAATTAATTGTGGTTGTTTAAGTTGTCGGAAATGTTAGAATCTCATTTATGATCTGCTTGATCTGAAAAAAAAAAAAAGTTTTGTTGAGATATCAGTTTAATTTCAGTCTCTGCTTTGTCTCTACTTAATGGAAGTGCATTAGATCGAGATTTGACAGAAATTGTTTTTTGTAACAAACCTTGGCTCTAATTAATCACATGACCCAAGGACATCTGTAACACTGTAACAATTTTTTAAAAACAGATTAAAGTCACCAGTATCAACATAGATGTTTTGTAAAGGCCAAGTAAATGAAGCCTGTTTTTAAGATGTTTTGAATAGTTGTGAGATTTGTTTTATGACAATAAGGCACATTTAAACCCATCTTATCTCATTCCCATTGTATAAGTTTATTTTACACTGATTTTTAATAAAAAATAAAAATCATTGCATCCTGACAGGTCTTTTTTTTATTGCATTACAGTGATGAGAATTAAATGTTGTCCACATTATAGACAATTTGGTTGTGAAACATGCTTATTTGTTAAGAAAATGCAGAAAATCTTAATGGTTCAGAAAAATGGCTTCATTACCATTATGCAATACAGTTACAATGTCATAATTTCAATTGAACTGAACTTTGACAAATAACTTTTTTTTTTTTCAAAACAACAACAACAATAAAAATTCCATAACTTAAAAAACGACTTTTTTTTTTTTATTGAATTATCCAATGGTTTCTGGACCCATCTGAGCTCCAATACAATCTGTTACTTGTGGATGTTAAGGTGACTTTGCTGGAGAAACATGGGAGTGATTCTTTGACCTCGTTTATACCTGGAATTAAGATCTGTTTCAGGTGATCCATTCACAAGTGGTCAGTGCTACACTACATAAAGTGCAGGACTGGATCCAAAACACGTTGTGATCCAATCACTTAAATCACATTTGTAGTCAGAATGTGTGAAGTGATATTGTAGCAACAATAGATATGTATACGTAGATGCCTCATTAGCGACTGTTTCTATGGACCGCTATACTTAAGCCGTCCGCCATATTCGAAGGGTCAACTTGACGTCATTCACCATAACAGTAACATAAGTTACCAGTGTTTCAAAACTTGTAATATTGAGTTAATACATTTAAAAACATAACCAACACATTCAAGGTTATCCCGTTTCTTAAAGAATTGAAATCCCGGCAGTTAAAACCTCGACTGTGCAGGATTGTGGCATCTTCGAATTTCCATTGATTATTATGGTGAATGGCGTCAAGTTGACCGTTAAAGACGGCGGACACGTCTATGTGCTTGGCGCAGTCGAATGGGGAATCTACCTATGCACATCTATGGTAGCAACAGTGAAGCACCTACTCACCTGTCAATCAACCACTGCACTACAACATGGGTTTTAAACTGTGTTAAGAGACGCTCAGAGACCCTCCCTTTGAAATCCAATCACAAGAGACTCATTTGAGACGCATTACTAACAGCTGTAAACATTGATGTTCCTCACATGACCATTTGTGATCAAATCACCCAGGATGGATATTAACATAAAGTGAAAACATGGTCTTTGTTTTAGTCTGGTAAAGTGAATTTTGAGGGGTCTTGTGTGTGTTATGTTTAATTGTTTTACTCCAGTTGTTTCCAGTGCCATATCCGAGTCACCGTCCACTCTGGATCAGCGCCAGCAGTCAACTCACGATAAAACCTTCAACAAACACATAATTATAAGCTGTTAATGTTTCCTTAGAGACCAGAAAATACCTTTTAATGTACTTTTTTTTTTCTTTGTAAAACACTGGATAGTATGGAAGCCCGTTTCCGCCACAGCATACAAAAATAAAAAGGTAATTGCAATCTATTATCTCACAGTTCTGACTTCTCACAATTCAGGTTTTTTTTTCCTGAATTGTGAGATATAAAATAAGAATTGTGAGAAATAAACTCACAATTGTGAGGTAAAAAAGTCAGAATTCTGAGATAAAAAGTTGCAATTACCTTTTTTTTTTTTTAATTCCGTGGTGGAATTGCGAGATGTAAACTCAGAATTCAGAGAAAAAAGTCAAAATTGCGTCATAATTGCAAAAAAAAAAATATCTGAGTTTATATCTTGAGATTCTGACTTTTTTGTCTCAGAATTCTGAGTTTGCATTCACAATTCTCAAAGAGATTAAAATTCAGACCCATTTGTGAACCAGTTTGACTGATTCACTTAAACGAATAGACTCAAAATTGATGCACTTTGGCTTGTAGGCATAGTTTATGCAACATATGCAATATCTAGTTGATAAAATGTTCAACCAGAGCTTAACTACAAAAATATATATTCTATATAGTAATGTGCATTACATTTTTGTTGTAATTTCAACAAGCAACAGCAACCAGATATTTTATCGATTCGACAAATTTCAGGATTTATTTTTTTTTGCAGGAAATTTGTTGCATTGCACCTAATTTACCTAGCCTTATCTCCAAATGACTACAGTCCCATTGACTCCCTCTGCCAATGCATTGATGAAATTAACAGTTGGATGTGCGAGAACTTTCTTCAGTTAAACAAGGAAAAAACTGAAGTCATTGCATTTGGAAACAAAGATGAAGTTCTCAAGGTGAATGCATACCTTGACTCTAGGGGTCTAACAACTAAAAATAAAGTCAGGAATCTTGGTGTGATTCTGGAGACAGACCTTAGTTTCAGTAGTCATGTCAAAGCAGTAACTAAATCAGCATACTATCATCTCAAAAACATTGCAAGAATTAGATGTTTTGTTTCAAGTCAAGACTTGGAGAAACTTATCCATGCCTTTTTCACCAGCAGGGTGGACTATTGTAATGGTCTCCTCACCAGCCTTCCCAAGAAGACCATTAGACAGCAGCGTTCTGGATGAGCTGCAGCTGTATAATGTCTTCGTGTGAAGGCCGGTGAGGAGACCACCAGTCCTCAGGTCCTTACACTGGCTTCCAGTTATATTTAGGATTGATTTTAAAGTACTTTTACTCGTTTATAAATCACTCAATGGCCTAGGACCTAAATACATAGCAGATATGTTCACTGAATATAAACCTAACAGACCACTCAGATCATTAGGATCGAGTCAGTTAGAAATACCAAGGGTTCACCCAAAACAAGGGGAGTCTGCTTTTAGTTATTATGGCGCCCGCAGTTGGAATCAGCTTCCAGAAGAGATCAGATGTGCTGAAACATTAGTCACATTTAAATGCAGACTCAAAACTCATCTGTTTAGCTGTGCATTCATTGAATGAGCACTGTGCGATGTCCGAACTGACTATATACTATATTGCACTATATTCTATGTATAATCGTTTTCTTAAATTCATTTTAAACTTCTTAAATCAATTGTTTTAATCATTTTCAATGTTTTTAAATTCCTTGTTTTATTGTTGTGATTATTTTTTTTTCTTTTCTTTTATGTAAAGCACTTTGAATTACCATTGTGTATGAAATGTGCTATACAAATAAACTTGCCTTGCCTTGCCTAATGAGAATGTGTGAAGGAAAAAGGTAAGTATTGATTTATAATTTTGACAATTATCCTTAATTTCAATATAGGTGCATCCTATTGCAATGCAATCTGGGAAATGTCATATATCATCATACATAAAATGAAAAAAAAAACCCTCAAAGGGTGTCGGAACTCAAATCACACAACAGAAAAAAGACTGAGGTGCGAAAAAAACGTGTCACATCAGACCCACACTAGAGTGATCTGAAGTATGACACTTTCACAAAGTTAACTTAGAAACAGCACTCTAGCTGAGCGACAGCCGAGTAAAACGTGCTAATGTGACAGATGGAAAGATGTTTTGAAACACGAGAGAAAGAGAGGAGTATGCAAACAGCTGAGAGCGAACCTATTAGCATCTATATATCCATCAAAGCACTGCGGAAAACAAATGTCTGTCATAAGGGAGAAATCCATTAAGTACATTTAAGATCATTTGAAGCTGTGCTGGCATTCATCAGTCAGACTTATGGCTGTGTGCAGTTTACGTCAACGCTCACCAAAATCTGTGTCTATGGGAAGGAGAATTTGTCAAGCGAGGTGCTTTCACGGAGACAGTTTACAAGTGCGATGAAATGAAGAGCGTTTGACTTCTATTTATGTTTTGAGTGTGACTCTTTCAAAGAATCGTATATGAAATTTACTCTAGAGTGCCAAACATACAGCCACTATATGCGCGTTTGGACTGAAAAACTAAGGCTGGTAGCAATTAAGTCACATAAGCTGAGCATAAACATAAAGAAACACAAGCATAAGATCACAACACTGAAATCTACATAGGATGAATGTCACGAAACATGTCCAGCTCACATTTCACCCTTTCACATTTTATATTAATTTTTATTTCAGTTTTAGGTATTTTAATACCTTAGATGAAAATGGGAAATGTTGCCTTGTCAACTACCTGAATTTTTTTATATTTTCTGTATATTTTATATTATATTATATATTAAATATTATATTTTATATGATATATATTTTATATATTTTTAGTAAGTTTTAGTAATTTTGTGTTTTTTTGTCATTTTTATAAATTAATTGTTATTTTTTATTTTAGTTTTAGTTATTTTAGTACCCTTTTAGAATATGAAGCTTTTTATAGGACCATTATGTTTATTTTTTTATTATTTTATTTTATGTATATATTTTTTATTATAACATTATTTTATGTATATATTTTTTTATTATAAAATATATTAAAACAGGGCTCCCACGGGTCCTTGAAATCCTTGAAAGTTTGTGAATCTGAAAAAAAAAATTTCAAGGCCCTGGAAAGTTTTTGAAAATAAACGTACATAGATACAGGTCCTTGAAAGTGCTTGAATTTATTTTGTGCAAGAAGTTTTCAGGAAAAAATTCCATATTATTCCCTCTGGTCTGCTAATGTGTTATTTCGCCAACACTTCGTGGCCTATGCTTGCTTTATTTAAGTTAGTTACGCGCATTTTACGCGTTACGTTAATTGTTTCCCGCGTGAGATACTCTGTGTTGTATATGGCAAGCCAAAAGAGTCAAAATTAAATTTATGCCGTTAAATACGGCGTTTTTTACCATTTACGCGCGTTTTTTTATGGCGTCTGCTATCAGGGCGGCGTATTTGACGGCGCTAATGCTGTTTTAAACGCCGGAAAAAACAGCGTTTTGTATGTAAATGCGATTTATCTATAGCGTAATTCTGACTCTTTTGGCTTGCCATAGTTGTATGTTGCCATGACGTTCACGCGCGCACGAAACTACTACAATGGTACCTTAACGTTTCACAGACACACCGTGAAATTAATGTTGAATTGCTTTGCTTGTTAAATGTTAACCCATGAGGCAAGAAAAACTTAAAAGCATATTCATATATCTTAAAACTTCAATGTGTCCCCACATTAAGTCCTTGAATTTGAGGGTATTGGACCTGGAGAATCCTTGAAAGGTCCTTGAATTTTAAGTTAACCAAGGTGTGGAAACCCTGTTAAAAGTATGTAATATTTTATAATAATATAACAACATTTTATAATGAAATAGTTCTTGTATTCTGTCACAGCACACTTACTCGTACACAGCTGTGATGATCTTCTTTTGAGGACCATCTTCAGTTATGTCCATCTTGAAGATGCGGGAGCTCTCTGGGTCCTCTTTTCTGATTTTGCTTGACAATCCTCATAAGGCTGCGGTTCTCTCGGTTGGTTGTGCATCTTTTTCTTCCACACTTTTTCCTTCCACTCAACTTTCTGTTAACATGCTTGGATACAGCACTCTGTGAACAGCCAGCTTCTTTGGCAATGAATGTTTGTGGCTTACCCTCCTTGTGAAGGGTGTCAATGATTGTCTTCTGGACAACTGTCAGATCAGCAGTCTTCCCCATGATTGTGTAGCCTAGTGAACCAAACTGAGAGACCATTTTGAAGGCTCAGGAAACCTTTGCAGGTGTTTTGAGTTGATTAGCTGATTGGCATGTCACCATATTCTAATTTGTTGAGATAGTGAATTGGTGGGTTTTTGTTAAATGTGAGCCAAAATCATCACAATTAAAAGAACCAAAGACTTAAACTACTCCAGTCTGTGTGCATTGAATTTATTTAATACACGAGTTTCACAATTTGAGTTGAATTACTGAAATAAATTAACTTTTCCACAACATTCTAATTTATTGAGATGCACCTGTATATATATATTAGTACATTAAGTTTAAATGAGAAATATTGTTTTGGCAACTAGCAGAAATAACATATATTTTTTTATTTGTATATTTTCCATTTTAATTTTAAAGTTTTAATGATTTTGTGGTTTTTGTCATTTTTATCAATTGTTTTTATTGTCTATAGTGTTGTTTAACTAGATTATTTTAATACATTAAACTAAATGAAAATTAGTTTTCATTTTCATTTTAGTAAAACTTTTAGTAATTTTGTTGTGGTTTTTGTCACTTATTAGTGATATAGTAATATTTTTTATTTCGGTTAACATTTATTTCACAAATACATCTCTTTTTTTTCCCTTTTTAGTCGTAGTAGTAGCATATAAAATGATTTTTAGGAGTTTCCCCTTAATGAGCCACTTTTGAGCCCGTATCATACCAACCTGTTTCACACCACTGTCAAACTCCACACTGAACTTCAAGCCAAAATACAGTTCAATTAAAAACAAGATAATCTTATTCCTGATCCATGTGATGGGATCCGGGGTCCCCACCACTGTGATGCCAGGATGCTCAGTGTCCTTAGTGTCCCTGTCCGCATCTTTACTATAATGTCTGCAGTGCTGGCGAGCAGACGGCGCAGACGGTCTGCGCAGGTGATGCCACGCGCGCTTTGGAGAGGTCGCGCAGCTGGCATGAGGGCGCACGCGCTGATGCCACCATGGTTGGCTGTGGGTATCGTGTTTAAGTGACACAATACTCCTCTTCCAAGGACAGGTCAAGAATGCGAGTTCCCCACATACAGCCAAAGACGTGAATCGTTGCATCATGAATGAGCATTTCTTTTGTAATTGCGCAATGCCGATCTGGTCACTGTAAAACTCGTAAATGACAGACGCACCGTCCTCAGCGCTGCTTCCGGCACCCTTATGGAACTAACCCGCACTGTACCCATAATACTTTTGGTTTCTCAGCACTTGTGTAATTTCTCCAGTAGATGGAGGCAAAGACCCGTGTTTCCCATGCGCACTCTCGCGCCACGCGTGACGCACAGATGCTGGATGGCATGATGATGCTGATGGATGGCCTTACAATGTAAGTAGCATTTATTATGATAAGTTATACATATAATTATACAGTGCAAATTTTAGTTTAAAGTGAATATCCACAATGTTGACCAGAATGTCCTTTTTTGTTCACCTAAATCGTCTCAGGTTTGACAATATAACTTATTTGGACACTAAAAGCGCACTTAAAATGTCTGAATGTCGTTACATATCTCTGTATTTGCGTTCAGATGTCGCGCCATGTGTTTTCTTCACTACATTCTATGCTTGTGTTTTGCTCAGTGACTCAACTGGTGTTTTGGCGATTTTTAGTGCATATATGAAGTCAGTTCCCTAAAATTAGACTATCAGAAAATATAACAATACTTTTTTCTTCTTCACTCAGAATAGTATTAGAGACACCGGGGCTAGTTGTCACACAGCTATTTTTTGCTATGCCATTTTATGCATAGACACAAGGTCCTGACTACAGTAATGTTATCTTATTTTGTATGATGGACCCACAAATCCTTTTACAATTTTTGTCACAAGTACATTTAAAGAATCTTTTATAGAATAACATCTTGCCCTTTATTGTCTAAGTTGAATTATTATATTGTTGAATGTTTAATCTGTATCTGCCATGTAATAGCCAGTGAAGCTGATATGGCAATAAATGTAAATACATAAATATATCTTGACTACAAAAATGCTACTGAACATTTCCACCGTTATCAACTGATGGGGCATGTTGTCACAATGGAACCTGCAATTCAACAGCCTATTATAGCCTGCTTTATTATAGCAAATCGTTACCAACAAAAATTCTATTTTTTAAAATGCAAACATTTCTAACATTTTAAAACACATGTGAAACTTGCCTCAACCTTGGATTTATTGTAAAAAAAAAAAAGCCCCTGTCCTGAGAACACAGTACAGTCTAGTGTGCTTTACAAAAATAGGATGATACTGGAATTTTAATTTGATTGACATTTGAAACCATCTTGTATATTTGGACTTTTGACTCACAGCTGAAGTAAAACCTTTGGGACAACTAGCTCCGGTCTCTCTGTCTGTTGTTTTCTCATTTCAATTTAACTTCCATCTGCATGAATATGAACATGTATGTACTGTATAATATACGTACAGAGCGATGATGAATGAACTATTGAATAAAGAGAGGTTTGAGCAGGTTAGGCAAGTGTTCCTGTTGAATCATCTAATGCAAATGAGTGACACAGGTGGGCAAGCCGCTTTAAAATGTGCCCCCCTCTCCGAAGCTAGCGGCATCACCCAAACACACCTCACAGGTGCACAACATCATTGTTTCAGAAGCTTAAATGTGATCAGCAGAGCAAAACATCATTAAATTCCTGCTGTTTCCGCTGATTACAGGTCATAAGCTTTTGTATTTGCCTGCTATCTGGGTTTTCTTTTGAAAATGATGATTATTCATTCAGGGTTGAGGCATAAAAACCAAGACTGCAGACACCTGCACGATTTACCCGCCCCTTTAAATTCTGTGACTATTTTTATTGATAAATAATTGCTATTGCAGCTCATCATTATTGAATTTGCGCTCAGATATGGAAACCTTTCTAAGATGTATTATAGTAATTATCTCTGTCAGTCTGAAATGCTTTTACATCTGTGGCTTGAATGAACAGAATAATAAAAATCTTGCAGCAGTTCCGATTTCAATTAATTACTTCGCCAGAGTGATTACAAACTTTAGGGCATGATTTTATAGCGGAAAGTAACTCCGATAACAGTGCCTCCAATAATAAATAGCAAAGAAGAAAAAGTTGTATTCACTCGTAACCTTCTGCATGCTGTTTTTACACTTGTTATCTGGATTTTATTTTGGACTTGCAAGACAAAAATAGTCTTGATTGAGGTGAACAAAAAGCAAATAATAAATGCAAAAAGGCATAATTGAAAAACCTGTTTCCAGTTTCTGTTATGACACTCTCATCATCAGTTTGCATATTAATGCCAGTAACATTCATGCACGAATAGTGTTGTATTTTTACTTGAGATATGGTACTGTATGTTGTTATCGTACAAAGGCATTTTTTGGTGAATAAAACCTAACTTTTTCTGGTTTGTACACAGAAATATGAGAGATACGTGTATGAATATGTTACCACGGTATGAGTGACACACTGTAACTTTACGTTGACGCTGGATAATGAGAGAATCAGTGCAAATGCCAGAGTAATAGTTTCTGATTTTTTCCCCCCCCCAATGGATTATTTTTTTCTTGTTTTTGTATCTATGCATAAATTAAAAAATCTGCTGAAATTTATTATTCATCTGAGATGTGATTAATATGCAAAATTATGCAAATTAAGATGCAATTAGGCTCCAATTCTCTATTGGAATTTTCCATTATAATTTAATACAAAGTAACAGAGTAATTGGTGTCACGTGTAATTACGGTTACTCAAGTGTACTTTCAGGCATGCAAATGATGCGCTATATGTTGGTTATCCGATGCAAATGTGATGCTTTAACAAGTTGGGAACGCCAAAAATGTGCGTGGAGCAAAAATATTGCATTTACCTAGTATTTAATGTCCAGTGTCTGTTGTGCACTTTTAATGTAGATACCTAGCTGATATGAAATACTTTTGGAAAGTTGACATGTCCTGCTGTACTTCATTGAAAACTATTTTAAACTGCAAATGCATGCAGCTTCTATTAATTGAGAGCCTGCATGGAATATTTAGACTTTTTAAATGCCATTTAAAATGGCAAAAATGTCCAAAGCAGCTAGACATTAATCTAAATTTGAACCTAAATCTGAATAAAAATATCCCATAAATCTCAGACTTTGCACACAGGTTCAAGTGACAAAGCCAGAGAAGAAGGATAATTTTGAAACTTTCCAGGGCGATTAACACAGACAGGGCTTCTCGAGTGCCTTCGAGATCAGCTCCTTCTTGGGAGGTAAATTGATTTTGAATTGTTACATGGCTGGTTACATGACTTGCTTGACATCTAGCCCAATGATGTTATAACACAGATGCTCGCTTCATTGAGCTATGCCTTTCTTTTCTCCCTGTACATCCTCTCTCCCTCTCCTCTCTCGGAACAAAGACTTGGGCTCCCCGCGCCCTCCCTCCGCCGCACCGCCTCCGCTCCGTCCCCCTGCCCGCACAACTCTCTCAAAGAACATAATCCCTCAACAAAAATCGATGCACAAAGGAAACTTGAGCTCAATCCTATAACGCACAGCCGTGGCAGACAATACCCCCCTCCCACCAGCCCATCCGTGCCTCTTCAGGAACGCTAAATGCCTTGTGGCAAAAATCAGTCTTGATCCCTCCCAGCCTGGCTGATTAGAGGCGTCCCGCTCTGGGTTTTGCCCATTAGCGCATGGCACACCGTACGGGCTGCCCACTGCATGGCACCCCCAGTTCCCTGTACTCAAGGGCCTGGTGATTGATTGCTGAAAATAATATACATAATGTTTTTTGCTCGCCCAAAAGTTACATTTCTGTCCTAGTGGGTTGTGAGAGTGTTTAAGAGAATATGAGATTTAATCCGGCCTATGTCGTATCGCAAACCCCTTAGAACTTTCCCATCTTCTGTGCATGTATTTCCATGTCTTGCAAGCATAAAAATAGCGTTGTGCGTGATCAAATTCTGTTGATTTCATCAAGTTAACACGATCTAATTGGTTACAGATGAGGTTTCACTGAAATTTTGTAAGTGTATGTTTTCATAACTTTCATGCTCTTACATTTTGTACAATTGTTTTTCAGTGGAGAAAACTTTATATAGAATATGTTGCTAAAAAAAAAAGCATAATTTTGTTTTGGTGAGGCCAGTGCAAAAATTGGCAGGGCAAATCCAGACTAGTCCTTATTGCTGAGTGCTTATCTTTTCAGTAATGAAAACTTATACTGCATAATATGATTTTTAGCAACATATTTTATAATTTTGTTGTGGTGAGGAAAGTGGAAAAATTGGCAGGGCAAGTACAAATCTAGGCCAGCAGAAAAAAATACTTATTGATGAGCTTTGTACATGGTTCTTTTATCTGTGAAGAAAACTTATACTGCTTAGTGCATATAGAATATGTTACTTAAAAAAGCATAAGTTTGTTTTGGTGAAATTTTTTTTTGAAAAATTAGGCAAGTCCAAAACATTCTTGTTGAGGTCTGTAGTACTGTGTAGATGGTTGTGTGGAGAGTAAAAAAATTTTTTTTAAATTTTTTTTTATAGTTTTAAATCATCTTTTTTTTAATGAAAAATGTGGGAAAAATTGGCAGGGCAAGTACAAATCCTTATTGTTGAGATCTGTATATGGTTCTTTGGAATATAAAAAAAAATCGATTGTTCATAATAGTTTCTTTACATCTTTTCTTCAGAAATGACAAAAAATATTTTTTTGTGAAATTTCTTAATATTCTCCTATGACTTTGCATTGAGCTTTAAGTGTGTTATTCCTGCTTGAGGTTTAGAAATGTGCATCTGGCGTGTTTTAATGAGTCGTTTGTGTGTTAGGTTTACCAATGACCTACTGTTACCCAGATATTCTTTGCATCTTGGATTTCCTTTGCATTTGTAGGCCAGTATATCGAAACAAAGCTGCACTGCTGATCTCGTATTCAACTCGCTGCCAAAGTTGCGCATCAGGTGTTCAGATATGACTGTCAGAAATATGGGAATTGAGGTAAGGTGCAACAAAAGATGCACAACCGAGCACGGCAGGAACTAAAACTGGGTTTGTGGCATCAGCATTGTGTACAATAATATAGGGCGATGCACGTTTGCCTGCGTCGAGTTTCCTGCATGAGGCAGTTTAATAATAGCACCCCGGCTTCCAAGATGCAGAATAATGCTGCTACCTGAATCTCAGCCAAAG